ATAGTAGATCAACCAAAATGTGCTTAAGTATTAATGATAGAAAACAGGTCAGTTAAGCTATTCAGATTAGTTTACATAAACGTATGTTTCCTCATGCTTAGTAGCACGTATAGAACAATTTATATTTGTCCACGAGTAAAAGGCAGAGTTCCCAGGCCAGGATATTCATAGTTTCATGACACGGTAATACTGATGTGAATAGAAAGTAATAATCTAGGACACATGACAAGGGGCCACATTCTTGAACAGAGGAGCCAAGGGTCTGATATAAACATTGTTCGCTTGATAAGTGAGTTAATTTAAGATTTAAAGGACAAGTAGTAAATTCTAGCATGATCATTCACATAGCCTCAGAGAGGACACACACAGCCAACTAAATTGATGGATGGGTTGACAAATGCCATGGGAAGAACGTGGCTGTGCTCACCATGGACAACTGGCATTCCCACATTCAGAAGGTTCCTGCCATGAGCAGTGCACTATGCACCATATACTTTCTCGGCCTGACCTGTCAGTGCTGTAACATACAACATGTACTTTCTTTTCTCATCTCTGTTCTTGGCCATCTGCTGAAGTGCCAAAAACAATTCACAAGTTCTTGCCTGACCTCACGTAGTCTCTCCTTCTCATTCCAACTAAAAGATCAGTACATCCTGCTCCTACATGCACATCCTCATTCTTGATACTCCTCTGTATCTCATCTTTCTGAAACATCTTTGGCCATTTGTACTTACTGGAGGGGTTGTCTTGTTTTTCCCATGACTTAGGCATTGTTTCCTCAACCTGTCTGTAGTTCTGCTTGTTGTTCTCCTCATTGGTCAAAGCTGAGTGTTTCTAGGAAACCTTGTTTTGCCAGCTTACACTTCTCTGGTGCATTAAAGCCCATGATATTTAACTCATAAAAGTATATTTAAATCCATATCACATCCCACAATGAAAGATAAAAAAAACAAAAAAAACACAAAAAAAAACCCAAAAAAAAACACCTTCTACTATTCATTGGTTGCTCCTAACGACCAGTTTCAAAAATTATTGTATTGCCTCCTTTTCAGATGATTATATACATGTTGTAGAAATAGTAGATTTAATAACATTTAATAAAACATAAATTGTAGATTCAATAGTAGCATTTTCCCATAGAAACTGACTTTGGTGGAAATCTTGTAAAATCATCATGAATCATTATGCAGCTCATAGATACTGCATTCTAAACAGAATGGGGTGTAGAGGATCTGGTAAAATCTTCTCCCTTTTGATAATAAACTTCTAAAATTCCAATATATCTCTCCAGTCTTTCATCTCTGTACACGTGTATATTTAGATCTTACTTTAGTTCTGTGCATGAAAAAAACCACTCAAACATACTGTCATTTTAAGGTGTTTCTTTCCTTCCCCATTGAAGAGCTTTTTCATTCCACAGAAGAATTCAGTTTTAGTTTTTTTGATAACAGAATACAAATGTTTATCAAATTTTTTTTTAAATAAAGTATATGGAATTCTCATTTGCTTAAAACCTACCAAATTCCAGACATTACTTAGCAAGCTTCTTTTCTGATGTCTTTAGCTCCATCGTAGTTGGTCTTATGTTTTACTGATCACACCTCCTTTGTATGGGAATAGTATTTTCCTCATTTCAAAAATTGGTTTGAAAACAGAAGTCTTGTGGACAAGTTCAGCCTGATTCAATAATCCGCAGAAGTGTGTGCATTACTTTTGTTATTAAACCTAAAAATGGAGTTCTATCCTCTATTTCTAGACATCTGAATATCCAGCAAAGCAACATTTTCAAGCAGTTGATGATACTGGCTATACTAGATGTGTCTATTCTTCTTAATAATTTCATGTTTTGAATGAGTAGACTTTTAACATTTCACAGCATCAAATGATACTGTTTTCAACTACACACAGGTAGATTCATCAATTTAATGCTATAGCATATCTATGATTAGTTAGAATGCACACTTTAACCCTGTAATAGTCCCTGAATGGTTTGCTTCCCCCTCTAGCCAGAGCAGTTAGTGTGGAGGTAATTTGCAATATATCATGGGTGGTCATGATCATGGTCATATCTCCAACTCTTGGTGAGAGAGCTTTGTGCTTTGGAAGGTAGGGAGAAGGCAGAGTCATAGGTAGCCTTCCCTCCAGCAAGGTCATTGTTGTGAAGGGGAGGACCAGTTCCTGCATTTTTGGGACTCTAAAAAATAAAATGTAATTTTGGCTTTTCTATTACTCTCATGGAGTAGGAAGGGAGTGGAAGCTTCCAATATTACTTTTTTTCCATAGCTCTGTTAGAAGCTAAACAGTATATTTGTCAGAAAGGATACTAATGTGGATGTTATCTTAGGAATTCATGATCATACTGGACAGGAAATTAAATGAGGCTGAATTTGTCCACATTAACTAGAAACCTTGCTGCTCTAATGTTCCAAATGTACAGGGTTCCAACATGTTCTCATAAAGTTTGAAGATTTCCCTTCATTTGGCAAGTGTATTACATCCCTTGAACTGGACAGCAAAGAGATGGTAAAAGTCACTTCCCATCATCCATTCAGTATCCTTCATTATGATACTTTCATTGACTCATAGGTGTTATCAACACACAGACATACTTTCAAGAGCATGAAAATGATTTCCCAGGACTTCAATGATATTTAGCAGGAATTTATATATGGTAAAGAACACACTGTGTAGCCTAGAGTAATACAGACATCAGAAATACACTTTCTGGAAACATGTACTTGAAAGCATGGCAGACAAAAAACAAAAGTAGATTTCTTTTTGTCCTAGATACATTCTACTCTTCAGCATGCCAAATAGTTTTGCCAGCTACTATAGGATTTTATGCTTAATTATTTACACACAGAGTTTAGATAAATCATAGACTATAAGCACGTAAGAAAGTGGCATTTCCAATATTTGTGCAATTGGAAAAGTACATATTCAAATAGAGCTATATATTTCTGTAATTTGGTTCTTTATAAGCAACAAAAAGCAAAGGAAATGTAAGACACAAGAAAATAAAGGTGACTATGCACAGAATAAGACAACTCTATTTTTTGTTTTTCTTTTCATGAATCAATCTGTGTCCTGTTTATTGTTTGTTTCCCTAAGGAAGTTAATTTTATTTGTTTTTACAGAAAAGCAACCAACACGCCCTACAAGCACTCCCTTTTGTTCTGAAAGAAAACCCTGATTTGAAAATGGACTTACCAAGGGATATAGAAAAACCACAAAGCAGAGAGGAAGACCGGCCTTTCCCAGCTTAGTAAACTCTGCCTGAGGAAATCAAAAATAATTCCCCTCTCTAAAGGCTACTGCCCCTTCACTCCCATTTAAGGGCAGATGCAGTTCTATATTTAGAACTAACCAAGTGATTCTCCCAAAACTGGGGTCAGCCTAATAGGCAATAAGGGTGTGATATAAAAGCAGAAGAAAAGCACTAACCTTTATGCAGTTTTATACTGTATTTTAGTAAAAGACAAATGTCATTCCTTAAAAAAGCAGTTGTTTATATTAAAAGTGGGGTTTCTTTTCCCAGCAACACCAAGGACATGGGAAACAATTTAATGTCAGGAAACAGTTTAAATTTTTTACTTAGAAATGTTTGAAGTTTTAAAATAATCAATCAGTAACTTAGAAGACCAGTGCGGAGATGTAAACTCCAGAATATTATTAGTAGAGACATGAAATCCCCTTAGTGCTTCAGGCTGTAAAATGAGCCTCCCCATTGCTTCCTTAAGAGCTCAATGGATTTGAGAATATAGCTGCAACATATAAAGGCCTAGTAGTGGTATAAAAAAACTATTATTTCCATCTCTATAATGTCACCAGTCAACCTGAAAGTGATTTCTCTGTGTCTTGTAAGTAAAGTAGGAAGAAATAATTTGCATAGAGGCATAAACAGACAGAGGAAAAAAACATAGCCAAAGCACTCAATTCTGTGAGACCTTGATGGTCCCTGATGTTTCCTGATTATTACCAACTAAAATGGATGTTTGCTGCCTGTAGGGCTCCTAGATTTCTACCCAGAAGCTACAAGACAGTGCTGTGGTGGCTCTGACATGCCCAGATATGAACAGTAGCAGCACTGGCTCTGAGGAGCTGGTAAGTTTGGGCTAAGTCATTCTGCCCCACTCTGGTGGCAGACAACCCCACAGGGGTTGCACCCATATGGAGGAAGGGAAGGAAGGGTAGGAAATGTGACAAGGCCTTGTGGCAAGTGTGAATAATTAATCACATTCCTCTTATTCTGTCTGGAAATAGGACAACATGTCTGGGAAAACCTGGCTATATGGGATACCTAATCCTACTTCCTGATGGCCCATAATGACTCAAATAGTCAATGAGTCAGCAATATACAAAAGGTAAAGAATTAATTGATCTTAAAATGATTTGAAAATAAAACATCTATTTTCAATTTACTTATATAGGAATGGAGTCAAGGCCAAAGTCACCAAATTACAATCTTTTCCAGTGGTTGGTATGCAAAACTTTGATACATGAACAGTGTTCTTTTTAAGTCATGCTTTCTTTTTTTTCTATTCATTTATGGCAAGCAGTGTAAGAGGTAGCAAAGCATTTAAATAACTGATTCTTATCTCATCTGCAGTATTCAGCCAAGTTCTCTGAGGAGCTCTGGTAAGGATCTTTCCTACTTCTGTATCGTCTAGGACTACTATTTGCTTGAAAGAGACTTCTCCCTTCCTCCCATAGCTCTTGAATTATAACTCAGTCTGACAGATTTATATCTACAGAGACAGACACAGTGGAATGAGGGCATATGCCCTGAATGTAGATGTTGCTTCAGAAGCAGCTGTCAAAGTAATTAGCCAGTAATAATCCAGAGCAAACCCACTTTACTTACCCAGTTCATTTCTTCTCTCTTATTGCATTTTCCTGTGGGAGGTAATAGGTCAGTTTTCAGGAAAACATTAAAGTTCTCATTACACTCAGCTTTTAATTTCTTGTTCTATATTTATTATCTTAAAAGAAATGGCATCTTCTACAGTCTGTTCTGTTTGCCTTTACACTTGAGCTCTCCTCGATTTTAAGTTCTTTCTTCAGGGTGTGGTTCCTTGGCAAAAATGTGAAAGTGTATTCTGAGGGCTGTGAGAGACATAACACAGGCAAGAACAAGCCATGTAGTGGAACCAATCTCAGGCTGTCTCCAGGTAAGTCAGTAAATAAATTCTCCTTCTCTTCATAGATACTCACAAAATAGGATAGAAAGGAAAACTTAAATATTTTGTTATTCACTGGTGGTGAAATTTGGGCAGCAGAGAATCAAAAATTATCCAGCATTTTAATAATTAATTTACATTATGTTCTCAAAGTTGCTCCCTAACATAGAAGGTGCCTTCCCAAACAGCAGTTCTTCGCTAAGAAGGACTTTTTAAAGCAGAGATTTAGCAGAGTATCAAAAGAATTATTTAAGCACTTCAAACTGAGAATGTGCTAAAATTCCTTTGTGAATGTGTTATTTTAGAATTACTTCTTTATCTTATACCTGTCCCTTGATGTGGGTTGTTTAACTGATACAGGTGTAAGTAATGGCTCAACTACTCCAGCAAAGGTGAAGATAAAGAACTGAAATAGAAATTAAAAAAAAAAAAAAAAAAGATGCATTAGCTTTTTAGCTACTGGATTAAACATCAAAACATAAAATGAAATGAAATGCAATGATGTTAGAAGAGGTATGTTTTTAGCCTGTAAGGGTGCCTTAATAGTGGCCTTGTGCTTTTAGCTTGCTCCAGTTCCAAGAAAACCCAATGCATCTTTGTACGGCAGCTTTTGAATTCCAGCTTTGTTAATATATTAGCCCTTGATTTCTTCAAATGCTTGTTGCATATTTATGATTTCATATAAAGTAAAAGATTGGTAACTAGCAATGAAGTACCTCGTCTCTACAGTAGTCCTAATTATTCACAAAGCCCTGTGGTGAGGTTTCTAAAGCTGTGCTGGAACAACGGATACTGTGCACTGGTGATCATAGAGCAGTCTCTTGGATTTCCTTCCCAGCTACCTGAGTGCTAGCATCTCCCTTGGAATTACAAATGAAAGACAAAACAATGCATGCAGATTCAATCACTCAAAAAATAAATCATGCTCTTTCCTCAGTTAATGCTTTTGGTTAGAAGTTCAGGTTTGTCAAGTGTGGGCTCTGTATACAAACCAAAGTGTCATATTCGGAAGAGAATACCATCACCTGAAAGAAACAATTAAAAACAGTTTTGGAGGCAGTGCACCTGCTTATGAAAGTTAGCTAACAAGAGAGCAGTAGCAGATGCACTTGACTGCTGACAGCACTGTAAATGCGTTCATGCAGCTGAGCACAAATCCTCAAGGTAAAACACACCTTACTGCCTCTTTCAGGCAGGGAGAGAACAAACACATAATGAATGACTCCTAGGAAGCTTAAGCACTTCTCTCTCTACCTCCTTCTTTTTCCTTATTTTCATTTTTTCTTGATGCATTTTTTCTTCCTCTGTTAAAACTTCCCGTTTTCTTTTTCAGCGCCCAGCACGCAAGCATTTTAAAGGTAGCCACATGCAGCTGAAAACTGCCAAAAGCTAAAACTACCCTTCCCAGAAATGAGGCTAGGCTGTGTGGAGATGAGACCAGAGAAGAGCCAAGTCATTTGGATGAAGAGGAGAGAACACTTGCAACTAAGAGAACACTGTACAACTCCCAGAAGAGAGGACAACAGCAGCTGGGAAAAAAAACAACAAACAAAAAGACAAGCCAAAATAAAACAAACAAACAAAAAAAATCACAAAAAAAAAAAAAAAAACAATAAAACTAAAAAACACGATTACACTTGCTAGAAGCTATTTTAAACAGTTCCAGCACAAGCCTTTGAACAAATACTAAAATACCTGAGTATACAAAATGTTGGGATTTTTTCCCCTGCAACACAAGATAAAGTGAATATCTTAGTAAGTACCCTTATTTATGTCTAAGAAGGCAAACACAGTACTGAGTTACAGTGAGTCAACTATTTTTAAAATACCTAAACAGTAATGTATCATCCTGTTGTTCAAGGACCCCCCCTCGAGCACATCAGTCAGTGGTAAGGTTTTACTGACACAGGAAAGCTCAGATTTGTATCCTTCTTGATTTAATGCCTCTCTAAAAAGTTAACAGGGGTTAGATCAGCTGCAAAGAGAAAATACAGGGTTGCCTGATGGAGCAGAATGTTTCAACAACTTCTTTTGTGAGTTACTGCAAGTGGAGATGAGTATATTCTCCATCACTTTGGACAGCAGTCCAAATAAAATAGTCTAGAGCTGGTAATGAGCTGACAGTGATACTCTATTTAAAATTGGGGTTTCAGCCAATGGGAATGGCTAAATATATTTTAGCTAAATATGTTTTGCTAAATTTTAGGATGAGCTAAGCAAATTAGTCTTGCCAGTGACATGAAGCTACAGCTCAGATTTTAAATATTGAGTGGGTTGTAATTCCATCAAATCTTTTGGAAGTGTTTCTGATAAACCTTGAAAGCAGCAGCACTTACTACAGTTTACTGAGTTAACTAGACAAACCATGCAACAGGGATATATACTGGCAGTATATCAGCTCAGTGGCATTTCTTCACTTACCTTTACAATAAGGTCTGGTTTTCAACCAAGTGCAAAGACAAGGACCATAAAGATGCTTGCCTTACCCTGGTATATTTATTCCAGTGTCACATCTGCAGATACCTGCTGCAGCAACAGTTACCTCTACAACTAACCCCAATGTCATCAACAATAGACAAAACCTTGAGAGAACCACAGCCTGTAAGAAGGCAGAAACAGGAACTACTTACACTGTGTGTGGTCCACAGGCTTCACCACCCTGGGAAATGCAGGCAAGACAGCTACAGACCTGAGTCCACCAATGAATAGCACCATCCAAAGCCTATTTTAGTGTCTTCATGCTTTAGTAACTGTCAGCTGTGAGGGTTACTGCTCATATAAGCATTTACATACAGGACTCACGCCAGACAAGCACAGACAACTAAGGCACAGAATCACAGAATGTTTGAGATTGGAAGGGACCTCTGAAGATCTTATCCAGCCCACCCTCTCAAGCAGGGCTGCCTAGAGCTGTTTGTCCAGGACCATGTCCAGATGGCTTTTGACTTGTGCTGGTTTTAGCTGGGATAGAGTTAATTTTCTTCACGGTGGCTGGTATGGGGTTATGTTTTGTATTTGTGCTGAACACAGGGTTAATATCATAGAGATGTTTTTGTTATTGCTTAGCAGGGCTTACACCAAGTCAAGGCCCTTTCTACTTTTTGTACTGCCATGCTGGCAAAGAAGTTGGGGGTGCATGGGAGGATGGGAGGAGACACAGCTGGGACAGGTGACCCAAAATGACCAAAAGGATACTCCAGACCATACAGACCATCATGGTTAGTAGATAAAGTTTGGGGAAGAAGAAGGAAGGGTGGGATGTCTCTAGTGATGGTGTTTGTCTTTCCAAGTAACCATCACACGTGATGGGGCCCTGCTCTCCCGGAGATGGCTGAACACCTGCCTGCACATGGGAAGCAGTGAATTAATTCCTTGTTTTGTTTTGCTTGTGTGTGCAGCATTTGCTTTCCCTATTAAACTGTCTTAATCTCAACCACAAATTTTCCAGCTTTTAGCCTTCTGATTCTCTCCCAGTCCTACTGGTGGGGGAGTGAGCAAGTGGCTGTGTGGAGCTTGGTTGCTGGCTGGGATTAAACCGAAACAGTAACTATATAACCTCCCTGGACAAACTGCCAGTTCTTGGCCACCCAAACAGTTTAAAAAAAAAAATAATGTTCAAAACCTCTGTGTTTCAGTTTGTTTCTAATGACTCTGATTCTCTTCTTGGCTGGCAGAAACTGAATGTCACTAGTGAAAATACACACTCAACATTCTTCAGATTCACACACCCGTTTGCTGCCTGGTTGCCTAATCTCTCTCTGTTCTAGGTTAGTGTCTACTGCAAACAGATGCACACACTCATACACTCATCTCACAGACACCCCATACCTGTCAGTTCTCCCCAAATACCTTCATGTAGAGTGTAGGGGCACCTACAATCCCAGCCTGACTCCAGTAGCTGGCACCCTTTCAGCTCTTGCAATCCCCCTAGTAAATGGTAGTCAGTCCATGCAGCACTCACACACATGGGATAAAGAGTGACATTACAAAGACAGACAGTTAAGAAAGGTTTAAAAGAAGACAGGACAGACTGCAGTGATCAGGCACAGGGCTCAGTCAGATAAGTGTACTGACAGGCTCTGTTTTACATATGATCAGCCTCTTTTATAGCTCTTTCTATCTGATCCTCTTTTTGTTCCTGATTTCTTCCCCTAAACATTTCTTCCTCTTTTTATGCAGATCTACCAGTTCCCACACCTCTCGTCCAACATTCAGGATCTTTATTCACACCTCCAGGCAAAACCTCAGCAGCTTCAAAGTCCAGGTTAGTTTTCCTGGAATAGCCCATCAATTAGTGTGACTGGCAAAGTCATAGTTCTTCTCATGGTCTCCATCATTGTTTGTCAGGTCTGTGTTGCCTTTACCTTTTCTCATCAACCTGACTTTAGTTGCTCCTCAATCAGATCATCTTGATGGAACAAGCATTCTCACACTCCACTACCCTTATCAATTAGTACCACTAACAAAGTTTGTTTCTAGTTATTGAATTCAGTATCAATAGTCAGTCACATTTTTTGTGTCTGTGTGTTTATCTCCTTTTCCTTATCATCATTTAACACGGACCTCAGTCAGACAATCTTATAGAAAAAAAATCTCATGCTCTACATATCCTCACATGGATAATATGGAAATTATCTGCTCCTGTTTCACAGGGGAAAAGGAGAAGGAAAGGAATACTTAACAGGTCACACAGCAGATCACCTGCATGATGAGTCCAATATGAGAGCTGATGTGAAAACATCAAATGGTATCAGTTTCAGCCATATCCCACTATTAAAGGTCATTGAACTTTGTATGGCATATTCAACAGTTCATGTCACTGAAAGCACACAGCTACGATGAGTATGGCCCATGCCACGAATGATATACTGTCTGACATATATGATCATTACTGTACTCTAGAATAATGAACTTTTACTGTATTTCTGGAAGCAAGTAACTCTCATTAGAAAAATTATACTGATTTCAGGACCGAATGACTTACATACACAACAGTTTTAAGAAGTGACACAGCAGAGATCTGACAAGATTTCACTGTAAATGGGCAAGAACTCTTGCAAATGCAGCCCGGGCACAATTTTCTTTAGGATTTATGTCAGCTGGACCTCTTATTTCCTGTTCTTTACTACTCCTGGCTATCTTTGATTCTTTGGTTGCTATAAGCAAAAGGAATTAGTTTACCCCAGGTAGATATAACAAGAAGTGTGCTAAGACTGATGGTCTCAGGGAGGCCTCAAATTTACACTGTTTAAATAGATTTTCACATTTAGTAAGAACAAAAGAAAAATTGTTAAGCAGAAGTGTTAATGAACCACACTGATCCTTCTCCAACTGCTCAATAGTTTCTTCTCCAGGTCTTCAAAAACAATGTCATAGTGCACAAAACAAAGCAATATTTCATTACAGAAGACAGACTGAAGAGATCCACCTGATTATTTCATCCCAATCTCCAACTGCTGTTTCTGTCCATTGTCCATATTCTGGTGCTTCAGATCAAGCTGCATTTGGATGTTACCAGTTCTCTCCATTCCTGCTACTTCTTCTTAGTTACTGCATGGCTGGGAGGTTTTGCTAAATTCTTTGTCCATGCCATTTAATTGATTATTTACCCTTCTTGCTCTTTGGCATTCAGTTGTCACTAAATCAGTCACCCACTAGCATCCTTGACTCATATGTCACCGTGTCAAAGACTCTTTTGATTTCAAAAGGTGCTTTTCCCTGAATAAAGACCGTAGGATTGCCCACACAAACATTCTTCACATTGAAATGCAACTTAGACAAGTTAATCGTATTTTGTTCTTTTTATTTTTTCATTATTCATCTAGCCTTTGTCTTGTCTCACATACTGTGCTTGCATATTCCTCTGCAACTATATTTTGATCACAAGGTAATATTTACATTGCTGACTGAAAAACTTACAGACATTAGTATATATATTTTGATTCCTACCTCACTGATATATGAATAAAACAATTTTTCAATTATTCTGAAATGTGATCTGAGGAAGTTAAGTGTTCCAGATACCAGATAGCTTGAGATAGCAGTAACATTTTTACAACACAGACAGAATAGAGCCTGTTTCTTTTATTCTGATTTTCTATTGCAATAAGGCAGCATTAGGTATCGCTCTGGATTCTTCTGTAACATATTCTAAGTAACAGGTAAGTACATTCAGAGAGCTGCAAGGCCAAAGTAGGCTTTCATCCAGCTTAATAAATATCTTGAGGCTCACGTCAAGATATTTAGATATCAGAGCAGCACAGAATGTAAAGCTTTGAATGCTTAGGACAGCTGTCCTCTCTCCCTGCCTCGGTGGCCTTTCTGATTATACTTGTACCCAATCCCATCCACTGGCAGTGTTTCCCAAGTGACAGAAATACTACAGCAGCACAGGAGAGGAAAAAATCTTGAGCTGAGTGTGGACGTCAAGATGTCTGGGCATTTACAACAGCACAACAGCAGTGTTGTAACATCACAGCAACCATCAGGGTTGCTCAGGACACTTCAGAGAGTGACAGATCATTGTTCCCTTCCTGAAAAAGGGACCAAAATCAGCTGCTCAGTGTTTCCAATGCATGGGAACTCTTGACGGGAAACATATAGTTTGAGGCCACTGAAATCATAATAATCATTGCCTTATTTATACCTCACAGTCTATTCAGTTATGTTGGCTACTTTTGTGCAATGACACCATGCAATTGATAAAATATGTGGTCAAAACACCAGCTGTCTGAAGTACTTGTACTGTAAAAGGAAATCTCTCTTAATTTGGACATATCCAGGGACTAGTCCTTACCTATTGCTTGTACTTTTCTCCAATTCTTAATTATATTTAGAGTAAAAAAAATTTGCCTTTTTTCCCAGAGTTAAAATTTGCCTACCTTTACCTTCCATGCAGTAGTTCTTGCTGGCTTCTTAGATTTCATAAATCACCGTATTTTCTTCCTCTGAAGGTGCTCACACATTAACCCTCAAACTTCACCTTCCCCTTGCAATTGCACTGCAACCGGTCGACAGAATATTGGTCTCTGACTTGATGCTGTCGGTGCAGCCTGATAGCACAGAGCAGTCGGGACTTCTGTGACCAAGGTAGCAAAGCCCAAAGAAGTAAAGCAAGTTTGGTTTTTAGATGTTTATATAATTGTAAATTTCCAGATTTGGGAGAAAAGAAAGTGATTGCTAAGAAAATCTTGCAAGTAGGCAATGAAATAACAAGGACATTGGCACTATGTGCCAAGGACATAAAAGTGGATAGTCAGTCAGAGATGAGGGATAGACATAGGTCATGATAAACATTAAACAATGGAAAATATAGTTTGCAGTGATGAGTTACCAGCAGTATGCCCTCGTACTTTTCTCCAACTCTTTATTATATTTAGTGTAAAAGAATTGTACTGGTTTTTCCAGAGTTGAAATTTGCCTATCATTACCTTCAATGCAGTCATTCACATGAGAGCAGCAGTGTGAACTTGCCAGCAGTGTGCCCTTCTGGCCAAGAGGGTCAGCACAATCCTGGGGTGCATTAGGAAGAGCATTGTCAGCAGGTCGAGGAAGGTGATCCTGTGCCTCTACTCAGCCCTGGCGAGGCTTCACCTGGAGTGCTGTGTCCTGTTCTGGGCTCCTCAGTACAAGAGAGGCATGATACTCCTGAAGCAGGTCCAGCAGAGGGCTATGAAAATGTCTAAGCACCTGGAACATTTCATATGAGGAAAGGCTGAGGGAGCTGGGCCTGTATAGCTGTAAGCATCTGTAGCAGGGTGTCAAAAGGACAGAGCCAGGCTCTTCTTAGTGGTGCCAAGCAATAGGACAAGAAGCAACAGACAGAAACTGAGGCACAGGAATTTCCACCTAAATATGAGGAAAAACCTCTTTACTGTGCAGGTGACCGTGCACATGAAAAGGTTACCTAGAGAGGTTGTGGAATCTCCCTCACTGGAGATATTCAAAAACTGTCTGACGCAATCCTGTGCCACGTGCTCTAGGATCACTGTGCTTGAGCAGGGAGGTTGGACAAGATGACCCACTGTGTTCCCTTCCAACTGTACCTATTCTGTGATTCTGTTACAAAAAAAAAATAATCTTCCAGGAAGAGGAAGCATACAGAAAGAGACACCTTACCAGAAGAGCATCTTAGCATTATGATCTTCTCAGAATTTTTCTGGGAAATGCTAATTGAGCAACCTTCATTGCATTCCTATACTGTAATATAAAAGCTTCGACTTGAACTTCAGCTGTGTGCCTATAAAAAGACAAATATACTTTGTAGATTTCCCCCTTAATAATTCTCAAGAAGAAAGAAAAGGGAGGTGTCCAGATGTGCCATTACTAGTGCCAGCCCAGGGGATGAGACAACAAGAAGGAAGACAATGCCACCACCTCTTGCCACTCACAGACACATAACAAGCAGGGTAACATATAACTTACTCTAATTGTTACTCATGACCTGAAATTGGGTAAAAGGGTGGAAACTACTCTGGGGAGCAGGACAGCATAAACATTTGCTTAGTGTTTTAAAACTTTCCTAGGGATCTGCTATTTGCCATTGGCAAAGACATTAAATGTACCTCTAGGCCTGGTCTAATAAAGTCATTCTTATATTAAGACAATACTTACAAAATATGCTGATTTTTAAGAGGATCTTTAAGAGGAAAGGGTCTTAAGATCTTTAAGAGGTAAAGGTCAAAGAATTGATTTGCATTCCAGAAGCTAATGAACATTTTCTTGTTGAATACAATCTGTTGAAAGAAAAGACTAGGGAACAGCAACCAAGCAAGGAGAAAAGGTAAATCACTGTGTATAAAAGAGATCAGAAGAGGAACCAAGTATGATTACATCTTTCTAGGTAGAAAAATTACAGCTAAAGATCAACACCAAAGATCAACAACTTCCTCCAGGGAATAATTTAAATAATAACTGTCCAAAGACAGGTCTGCCTGAAAAAAAGTTGTTTAAAGTTGATAATATTTAGAGTCACCTCAGATTTCTTTAAACAGTCAAGGAAGTCTCATGACTTAATAATTCTGGTCACTATTTACAAGACTACTAACTAGAATTTAATTTACCATCCTTGGGATATTTTTTGTGCGTTATTAAAATTTGTATACATAAGCATTTACACTGTGATGCAATGATGATAATTAAGAGATTAGAGCAATTGATATACCAGGACAGGATGACAGAGCTTGGCTGTTCATCTTGGAGAAGAGAAATCTCCAGGGATTGTATGAATGTGGTCCTTGGCCAGGCAGCTCAAGATTTAGCACTGTGACCTGCACCTGCCCATCCCCTCATCCCTGTGCTGTTTAGGAGGGCATGAGGTTCTGCTTCTCTACTGTACACCTCCTCTTTGGTATTAACTTCTGCATGAAATAAAAAGGGATTAAATCTTCCCTCTCCAAATGACTGTTTTTGACCTCGTGCCCAATCTCTCTAAAATTTGAATAGTCAAATATCAAATGTAAATAGTTTGACCAGCAGAACGTAAAGGACAAACCTGGGATGTGACACTCAATACAGGCAAGAGAAGGACCTCTATTTATTGCCAGTATCAGTACTGTTTCAGTACAAGGACTTTTTCTAAAACTCAGAAATCATAGTTAAAAAGGTGTTCGCTATCTAGTCTAGAGTGGAATATATCTGTGACACAAAGTTTCTCTCACAAATATGATCTATTTCCTACAAATCTTATCAGCATTCACCTCTGTCAGACCTTCATGCCTTTCCTTGGGAGCTGAGTTAGGTCAGTTGTTGGTCAGTGTAATGGGACTTCAGAGACCGTTCCAGCTGCTGTAACTCCAGCACTGTGCTTCAGATCATTTATTCTTTAAGTAATTTTTTCCATGATCATTTATTTAGGAAACTATTTTAGTCCTGACAGGCTGAGAAACACAGTGAAGGAAAAAAAAAATTAGAACTTCTCCAGTATTTGCACAGCTAAAGATCTTGCCCACTCTACGTGACTCCTGAGACAGCATAAAACCAACATAGGCTATCAAAATAGGGAGATGTGTGTTGCAAAAGGGGTGTCACCTATAGAGGCTAAAGAACAAATAAGAAAGTTTGAAAACTGATAGAAAATAATACAAATAGATATGATGACAATAAGAAAAAGAAATGAAAAATTATTCGTTGATCATTCTTCTATACTAAAACACACACACAACTCATCTTTTTAAACTCTTCCTCCTCTATAAACAGTAAACTGAAGAGTCAGATTTTCATGATGTGGAAAGGCTACTTCACTTGTCTTTTCCTGACACACATACTACATTTAAAAGAAAACAAAAAGAAAAAATATCTAAGGCAAAGAGGTATGCAAGGTCAACAGTCAAAGTTTAAAAAGGCTTCTTTCTCAATAATGCACTTCTCTTTTCAGCCAGACACTCATTTGTCTTTCAATATCTCTATCTTGGGAGTTCCATGCAGAATTTTTAAATAACGCTGCTGTACAGCTTAATGAAAATAATCAGCCTATCTTTTATAAAATAACGTTTTTTTGTAAAATAACTCTGTTACACAAATTCAGGAGTATCCAGTCTCCATTCCTTGGGATCCTCTCTGAAGATACGGATAGCACAGAAAATCTTCAGAAAGTACTTTCATCAGGGTTCATCTTAAATTGAAAAATTACCAGTTATGTTACAGACACTCTCATCAAAACAGCTAGTTCTGTAAAACACATTTGAAAGAGAAAACAGCTTTATCCTTACCAGATAGTTTAACTATTTCCTTCTTTCTTTTTCTTTTTATTTCAAAAAAGCAAATTATTAAACAGCTAGGTCCATATGTTCTGTCCAGCTATTCATCTTACTCCCTCGGGTTACGCTGAATGACTTAAGTGCAATTGAAAATGAAATGTGGCTTGCTAAATTTATTTGACAGAAGGACTAGAAAAATGTCTTTTGTAAAAATAACTTGGATATAGCCATAAAACATTTTTCTATTTATCAAGACGTTTTCTTTTCTTTTCCTAATATATAGATAAAACAAACAGTGCCTGACTGAGCATGATTACCATTTTAACATCTGGAATGTTCGGAGTTCTGTGAAGACAAAATACAGATTTTAAATGTTTGGCTCTGACAGACCTTTTAGTTTGGCTGCAATGCTTCCTACTTTCAAGTTTACCTAAGAAGCCTCTTACCTTACTGATAAGTTCACAGAGGAATACTGATATCCTTGTATCATATACCAATGATTGCTGCATACTCAGTGAAATAATATAGCCATTCCATTAGAACAAGAAATGCAGGGATACAGAGAAGAAATGGATGATTTGTAGAGAGAAAGTAACAAAATGGCAGCAGGAGAAGAACAAACACATGGGTATTTCATTTAGGATTACTAAATTCTGTAATGAATTTTCATATCAGCTCCTTTTCCTGCTTTGCATTTCTCAGCAACACAAATAACGTGTCTCTTGGTGCTGCTCAGTAGAAGTCACTACCCACTAGATGGGGCCCCAAGGCAAGAAGTTCTCAGTTCATAATGTCATGTTCACTCTGAAAAGCTGCATTTCCAGAAGAAAATTATAATAATGGCAAAAAGTGGTCAGAAATATCAGAACCACAACCGAGTTCAAGAGCTTGAGCTGAATTTGTAATTTCCTTCATAGGGGTATTTGAATTCTACTAGCACCTACACCAGAAGATAAGCACAGACTCTCAGTCCCCCAGATTCTTGGCTACCTAATCCAACATCCTTAGGAAAAAAAAAAAAAAAAAAAAAGGAAAAAACTAAAAAGGGTCCTTATGTTCCACCAATGAAATTCAGAAGATTTTTCACATCTGTGTCTAACTACATAGAGGCTACACCTCCTCAGAGGGGAGAGCAAGCACAAAATGAAAACAAAGTGAAACAAGTAGCATCATGTGTTTCCTACCTGTTGGTCTAGACAACAGTAATCTCATCATCCCTCAGGAAAATATGTTTCCAAAAACCTACAGTCCTCAGAGACCTTGCAGCTCTGTCTCGATCTGCTGAGCACTCAGCCTCCCACAGAAATGCATCAGTTTCCTTGCCCATTTTCCTGTTTATAGAGACACCCACAGAAAATGTTGATCTTCTCATATTTAATAGGAAAAGGGGTCAAGAAACAAAAATCTCTGCACTTCACAGCTAAAGACATAACCACTGATTATTCTGATTTTTTTTCACTTTTATGCTCAACTGTTTCTCATTTAATCTGTCCAAAATTGATTCTCAGCTGATGATTTATCATCATGTATACAATTGTCCTACAATGTGAATGCAGACTGCTATTATATAGCTTATCCCCACATTTGTACCTGAACTCCTTACCACAGACTGTCTTTACTGTCAGTGGAGAAAGTCATTGCACGAATGCAATTCACCCTGTTCCAAAGTAGCTGACTGTGTCCTCCCAGGATAAGCAGTTTGGATATAGATGCCAAAGTTGCAGAGGTCTCAGAGCTATGCACAAAGGTCCCTGCATCTACTTCTCAGATGAGACACTTTTTCTTAGTTTTGTATTTAACAACATATAGCCTTATGAATAAAAACATGAGCTTTTCTCTCAGATTTATCAGATTTGTAAACCAACTTTACAAGCATCTATCTGAAACCATTTGACTCTTCTCTGGGAGTTTCCCACTGCTGAAGTGACAAAATTTCAGGTTTTAGCTGAGATGCATAAGCCTAGAGTTACAAAGATAAGCCAGAAAGTGTTAACTGCAAAATATTCAAAAGTTAGTTTGAAAGTTTAAAAAATTGTGTGGTGGGAGCTTACTGACATGGTACTTCTTAGGAAGGAGAAACAAACCTCGAAGTTAATTATTCCAGGAAAGGTTAGCCACATTATGGTTAGGCAGTGCCATAAACTGTCTCGCACAAATTTCTGTCACCTCTATGGTCTGTTTCTGTTCTAATGAAAAATCAGGCTCCTGATGTTTACAAGACTTGGGAAAATAATTTTTCATATCAGCTCTGCATGGCAACAAGTGCAGTGATGGGCACCAACCATGCTGGGTGAAGACAACCTGTGCTTTTTCATGTCA